ATAACTGAAAGCACTTTTTCGAGCTACTTTTTGTATATTTCCTTCCCGAAATAACTTAAACGCTTGCTCAGAGATTTTCCAGGCACTGGACAGCTGTTCACACCTAATGGAAAGTGACATGGCGATAAGAAAACACATCAGTTATGGACGTGATTTCCAGTCGGCGTGGCTACAGCAAAGCGATCTCATTGGGATATGAAATGTTGGTGCTGATGAAGAAACCAGATTGAAGCAGATAGCTTAAACTACCACTGATACCCAAATAAAAACGATATGGTAATTAGAAGAGCATATAGCGGAATAGTTGCAGTAACAAAGAAGTAACAAGTTTTTAGGAAGGAATTTGGGCAATGTCCCAGAAAAAGAACGCTAGCTGTCGATGAGTCAGAGAGAATCAATCCGTCACACTCTCATTTACCTTGAGATCTTGATTTGCGATATGAAGATGGCTCCTTGATCGCCTGTAAGACGATGTTCCACATTGGGGATGTTGATTCGAGGCAACTGCTCGGCTAGGATATTGTTGGCGACCTGAAGCCTCACATACAACAGGAAAAGGTTTGGAAGCGAGAAAAAAATTGGAAACTAAGGGTTCCATAGATTTTTATCTAGCCTCTTCTGGCCAAGGATGAGTTGGCGAAAAAACGTTCGTTCGAAGGGAAGGAGAAAAAACAATGTGCTCTCTCTTGAAAAAACCTACGGGGCGAAATTCGGCTTGGTCAGGGCGCCGAATGGTTCGCAGCGGAGATTATACAAATCACCCTGTGAAGAAAACTCTTGCAACCTTTGATTCACTTGTACCATTTCGCAGCTCCACAAGAGTTAACAGCTCTCAGTAAAACACATGAACTTGCAAAAGTAACTATTAGCGAAAGTGCAAACTGCCCTCCCATGCCGAACGGCGCCCATTTGGGGGAGACGAATGAACAGAGGGTGCGAGGGAAGCTCTCCAGGCTTCTGTAGTTCCTGCCAAGTCAGTCTAAAGCCTTGCGGTCCTAACGAGACCAGTATCCAACACAAAAGACCTACTGCAACTAGGGCACAACATTATTGGGGTTCCCAATTAGAAACAGAGAAAAAACAAATGATTGGAAAAACAAAACACTCAGAAACGCAGATGGTCCATCCCTCCTCCTTCCCCAAGTGAACCATCGCTACTTCCTCAACCAAGAAGCTCCTCGGTGAGGTAGGGTTAGAAACAAGGGTGGGACTACATAGGGAAGGAGCAGAGGAAGGGAGAATGGTGTGTCCGACTGCAACATAGATGAGTAGGCATTTCCTTTGAAATTTTAGTCACAATGGATCAAAGCATCTCTATGCCGCTCGAGAAACTGCTAAAGATCTTCACTGACTACCTGAGAGAGATAGGCAACGCCAGAAGGAAATAGCCGTAGTCGCACTCCCGGTAGATTCAGTGGTGCTTCGAGAAGTGGGTGGAAATCTTGACGAGGAATGAGAACCACAAGCTGGAAAAGGCTTGCGAATCCGAGCGCGATCAGCGGACGGCGCATTTCACCGAGTGCGAACACGAAGTTGCCCGCCCCCACGACTGTCCCGGTTTGGGAACACGGCGCGGCCGGCAGTTGTCGACGGCCACCAGTCGCACTCTCGCCTCCCAGGTACAGGTTATTCGTCGTTACTTGTCTAACATTCCTGTTCAGTCTATTCTTCTCAGCTATTATTTGTCTCATCTGACACTTTTGAGACTTTTCTTTCGCAGATGTGGCAGTGACAATGGGCAGGATGTTTTCGATGATGTTCGTGGCAGCCATCTTGGCCTTGCTATCTGGCCACACCTTTGCTTCACAGTTGGGAGCGACTTTTGGCGATGCTGCTGTTTCGCAACTAGTTCGACATGTCGCTGCCAAAGTCCTGCAGGAACCACGAGTTGCTGAGGTACGGAAATGGCTTTCGACTTACAAACCCAGGCGAAATGGATGGCAACCAACATGCTTCATTTTGCGCTGTTCAGTTCCATGTGTTTTCATCCAATCACTCAAGTCCCTAAAGATTTTCGATATGTTTTTGAGTTTCCTATCGATTTCTATGTTTCCATCAAGAACGGCTAGCCATGCTTGACTCCGAACTCTATGTCTAAACCTGTTCTTCGACAATCGAATCAATAATCGCTGCAACCAGCCAAGATCCCCAGCGGTAGATAAATTACGTATGAAACACGTCCAGTGCTGCAGTTCCCTTCAGAAGGTGCTATGGCGCTAAATTATGGGAAGATAAGTGGATAAGTGTGACCGTTTTGTTGGGCAGATCATCCTGGACGGTTTTCATGTCTCTTTGTCCCATGGTTTCCATGCCAGAAGTTGGAGGGATTTTGAAGTTGGAGGGGTTGGGGTGCTAGTTCCCAGTTTTCCAGACATAGTAGGCCTATGTTGTGCGTTAAACTTAAACCTCTCTCTTAAGTACACTCAAAACAGAGTTATCCCCAGTTAAATCCCAAACCCTCTTCACTGGCACCAGCCTACAGGACCAAAATTTGCAACGATCGCGCTTTCTTCTTGTAACGCTTATACAATTTAATGTTCTGAGAAACTTTATTTAATTGATTTTACCGTTTTCTCACAAATTAGGGTGCGGCGCAGTTCGGCTTGGGAGGGTACTTCGCAATTTCGGCTGCTTCAAGGAAATGACATGATAATCCTGAGTATTGTTCATGTAACAAAGACCTTCACAAATCTCCACTTGATGGCTCGATAGGCCAATACAGGAAGAGCTTTAGAAAGTCGAACCGTTCCCTAGATTGAGCGGTTCAAAGATCGAGCGTTCCCCGATTGGAGCGGCTGACCTAAATAAATGCGTGCATACGTACAATTTTTTAATTATCGAATCAGAGTGATAAATATTGTTGCCTTGTAATCCGCCCCATCCGCCAGCGGAGGAACAAGAATTGTGAGCGAGAAGGCGATTGCTAGATATTATAATACTATCAAAAATCCTAATCTTTTGAAAAACCTCATCTTTTCACTTTGCTGTCTTCATTAATGAGATTCACTGTAATAGAGCGGTTTACTAAGAAAGTAAGAATCCAGTAAGAGACAGTCATTAGAATTTTGAGGTTCTACCTCCCAATCACACCCACTACGATCCTATAATCCCATTCCGCTAACTGCAGGTTACCCTGAAAACGAAGGAATCGCCGTCGCTGGGGTCATTGGCCCATCTTGATATCCTCAACCGAGTGAACTACAAAAATCTCTCCGTGGTGTTCCATGACGATTCACTTCATGTGGTCATTGACAGGTGAGGTTTTTCTGACCGTAGATATCCGCCTCTTCTGAAATGAGTTGCAGATTTTCCCTGCTCTCTCGTGGCAACCTCTCCGAAATCTTCTGGCCATTCGGTTTGGGTGAACAGGTACTTGACGTAGGCTTGCAGGTAAGAGGTTTAACTGGCTCGTTGTAATAAATCGGGCTTGATGATTGTTGTGTTTTAGCTGCAGCACGCCGAGATCCGTCTCGATGCCGATGAGACGACATTTTCGCTTGGCGATTGCCTTCTTGTCGGACCCGAGATAGCTGCATCCGTTCCAGGTCACTGGGTTGCCGACAGAGTGTGTCTGATAGATATGTTACCAGAAACAGTATGAACAAAACCCCATTACCCATTCAGACCGCATTTTTTTCAGGGAGCTTCAGCAATCGCTTCGTTGATGACTCCACTAGTGGATTCAGTGCTTTGCAATGCTCTTCGACAACACATTGGTAGTTTGGAGGCCAGCACGATCATGTGAGTGGTTTATTCACGGAATCCCCTCACTGTTGAGAGGGTCTGGGTGTTTCGTGGGACGCACGTGAGATGGGTGGGGCGTCGGTCAAGGCCAAACCAAGGTAATCGGTCCCTCGTGTCCGCCAATGTTAGACCCGCACAACAGCCAGCTAACAAAGGACAAAATAAAGGCCTCTAAGATGGAGACCTGGTCATTCTATCCGGATTGTTCCAACAGCAAATTGTGTTCACATTTTCTGCAAGAACGAGATGATAAAATGAGCTCATATTACTGTGCGCTGATAGAGTTTGGGGCACTATCCCCCCTCACGACTACAGAAACTCTAAGAAATTTCTGCTGAAACTCCAGCTACAGATACTGCCGGATGTATCGGCCTGAAAGTACCATGTCCATGACTTGGTGTTGGCGCTACCTAGCACCAATAACAATCACGGCTATTGGCGCTAGGTGGCCGTTTGGCCATATCACTTCTTTCAAAAATCCACAGCAATCAGGTTTTCGGGGTAATCTTTTCTCAGCGCTGACGCCAATTTGGAGCCACCGTATTGGCGCCCCTGAGCAACAATCAAGCGCCACCGCCTTTCCGCTAAAAATCCTACTATGCAAGTTTTTATCAACTTTCGTGAAGAAGATGCGACAAAATCGCATTCGATTCGGCCGCCACATGGCGGCCCGTGACAAATATAAGTATAATACTCGTGGTCGAGAGCCTCATTTACCCCAAGCACAGGTCTGCAGCGAAATCGTTGAAAAAAAAGTGTGAGCGAAGTCTCAGAAATTTTTCTCTGAATTTGCGGAGCTCTGATATTTTCGTACTAGCGAAATAGTTCCGAATTTTGCTTGATGATCGGTGAAGATTATAAGACCGCAGACCTGAACTGTAGCATGCTTATTTATTGAAGAACGTGCCGGTAAACTTGACTTCTCCTGCTTATTAGGTCGAGTTTTTCGAAAACCCAAGCTGTTTACAGCTATTTACGAAAATTTTCAGCGCAGCGGTAGTAAATTAGCATTTATGACTTTAAAGCGTTCACACAAATCTGCCAGATCCGTCATGGTGAAGGATTTCTTAGTTTTTCTCATACAGTGTGTTCAGGCGTTTCCCAGTGTACGACCTAATACCGGAGAAATTGCGATCGTACGTGATCAAAAACGACACCACTCTCTTCTACAGGTGGGTTTCTTACAAATCTATGCGGTCTTTGTAAAAAGAGCAGTGCTGGAACGTGAGCGAAGAAGGCACCATAATGTTCCCGGTTCTCCCTTGGAACCACCCAAGCGCCTCGCCAGTTCTCTTTTTGCACCGGTCGCCATAGGCGACGTGGTATGCTGTTGCAGTTTTCTCAAACGCAAAGATCTCGTTTTTAAGGCTAAAAAGCGTCAAAGTGAACGATCATCAACTGACTGCTCGAGCACAACTGAATGGGTTGAAATTGTGAGTTCAGATTCATTAATCATGAGCATAAGGAGCTTCTCTTATTTCTTCTCTATTTTAGTTTTGCAAGTTTTGCTTGTTTATGCTTGTTAATGATCTTTACTTCAATAATCGATTGCAATCGAGAACCATACTGCGCGAGATGCAACTATGTAGCCAAGAAAGGCCCCAGAAAATATGTCGCCTGCGGACTACCAACTTTTCGCTGCGTTGCACTAGCAGCAGGGGAATCTAGCACCCCCAACCCTCAAAACTTCTGGACATGGAAAACCATGGACAGAGGACATGAACTTCTCGACTGCGAAATTGCCGGCCTTTACCGCAGGGGAACAGAGTAGTTTCTTTTTCTTAGGTATAGCCAACTCCAAAACTTAGGTCGACCACACAAAATACCACCGATCAATCGCAAAAAATGAATCCAAAATATACCCTATGCAGTGGATTGCAAATCTTGAAATAGTCTTCGAATTATTCGCTTCATTACATCATATCCTTTTCGTTTTCATTGAGAGGCATCCAGCTGTGTTTCATCGGCACATGATCTGTATCCCTTCCAATCACCGAGCCGTAATAAATATGAATAATACAGACGACATTGGACTGTACCAATGGAAAGCGATGAGTATTTAACTTTCATTCATAATCGCGGATTCGCTTAAAGGCATAGCGCGCACGACAATTTGGTACTTGGTCTGATCTGCTCGCAGAGCGCTATATAGTGGGGGAAAATGGCGAAAAAAGAAAGTGAAACGGTCAAAACCCTGCAGAAAAATCTTTGCTCTACTCAACTCAGAGAGCAGTTTCGACGAGTTTTCCGTTGGAGTCGGCAATAACCCACTAGTTGGACCTTAGCACTGTATGCTCCGGTATAGCAGGTTGGACGCATTACGTATCAGAACAGTTTTGGTACTCTTTCTGGAATGGTGGCAGGAGTGCTATACAACGGGAAACGGCGAAAAAGCGAAGTGAAACGTCCAAAAATCTGAGGGAGAGTCTCGTTTTCTTGATTCAGAAAGCGATTTCGGACGAGTTTCCCGTAAGCATTGTGCCAATAACCGGTACGGTAGATACGGCTGCAGTATGTACTCATATATCCATGCAGCACCGCAGCCGCTTCATACCAATCCCTTCGCTTCATATTTTCTTCAGCAAATGAAGCAGTACGAGCATCAGGTACGGTCGTCCATTTGTGGGCAGGCGGGCGCGGTAGGCGTCCGGGTCGGTATGTTGCAGCCTCACGAAGCGCTATAAGGGCACGTTCTTTGGAAATAGCGCCACACAGCTCTTGCTAAGAAGCCAATAACTGATCCCTGCTAGTCTTTGGAGATTTATCTGCCAACTTCCTTCAAAGTTCGCTCGATTGCTTTCGTTCTAGAGGGTGAGTTGCAAACAATTAGCCCCACAGTGATAAGAAAAGGGCCAATAGCGTCATTGTGAATCCACATCAAGAGCCCCATATCGATGCTAACCGGGAAAGGCCAGCAGGTCAGCCTGGACATTTCTAATGAGGTGCACACCGTTGTACACGTCTTTAGAAGGTGCACTCAAATCTTCCTCTACATGTTGCGGAACGATTCTCTGAACGGAGTTATGGAGGGTTTTACTC